CAGAAGGAACAGCTGGTGCGAAGACTCCAGAGTGGGAGTAAGCCTAGTGTGTGCGATGAACCGAAGGGAAAGGCGGCCAGATTGGGAGGGGAGGGGACGGGAGGGTGTGGGAACTGAGGTTGCAGAGGCAGGTGGGCCACATCGTGTGAGTCCAGTGTGGTGGGGGCTCAGGGTCTGGTAATGGGGGAATGGAGTGTGTTCGGAGGAGGGGTGTGTGTGAGGATGGCAGTAGGGAGACCAGTAAGGGAGGCTGCTTTTATAGTTGGAGCAGGAGGTGACAGTGGCCTGGGTCAGTGCCAGCAGAGCCTTGAGCATTGACTCTGGGTGGACACCTCTCATAGGCATAGTGTGAAGGAAGGTGGAACCCCAGCAGGCTAGTGAGGACCACGCACCCCAGAGTGCTCGGCTGCCATCTGGAGCAGCCCAGGAAAAGCGAGGGCAGAGGTTGGGTGGAGGGAGAAGGTTTGCAACCAGCCTTCCTGCTCTCAGAGGCTCCCGGGAGGAGCTGGATGGTGTGGAGGCTGAAGCCCTCCCAGACCAAGAGGGCTTCCAGAAGCTGAGATGTGCTGAGAGGACAAGCAGGAAAGAGCACTTGGCCAGTCGGGTGCCCCAAACTCTTCATCTTGAGGACCTGGGCCTCAGTTTACACATCTGTGAAGTGGGGCTCCTAGTTCCTGCTCTGCTCCTCAGAGCTGTCTAATGATGCTACCAGTTTGCTTTTGCCGGAAGGCTAGCAGCCCTAGAAAATGAACTCAGCCTTAAAGCAGGCGAGTGGTGTCCCTTGGTCCCAGGCCTCTGCTCGGCTCAAACAATGGCTTTTCCAGCCTGACAGCAGCTGTGGAGGCTGCACAGCCCCTAACAGTGTGAAGTGCCGTGGGGGGTTGATTCCTTCACCTCTTGCTGAGTTCCTGCCCATGGGCCTCTCAGCCCACTGCCAGGGGGCCAGGGCCACATAGGGCTAGCAGGGATGGGGGGCTGCATGTGGGTAGAAAGCTCCTGAGGCGGAACTGGGGACCATGGGGAGAGGGGCAGGCCCCCTGGGCCAGCTGGAGCCCGGGAACGCCGAGGGAAGCCATGGGTTCCTGTTGGAGGAGGCCAAAAGCCTGGTGAGGCTCACACTGGCCACATGTCTGACCTGCCAGACTTCATTTCATCCTCACAGCTGTCACAGCGTCTCCATCTCTGATGCAGGAACCGTCTCGGAGTCTCAGGGCCTCTCCCTTCCGCTGGTTCTGTGAGTTCCAGCCACATCACTGCCCTTTGTCGTCCACTGATCAGGCCAAGGCTGTTCCCAGCTCAGGCCTATCCTCTGCTCTGCCTTGTGCCCGGAACGCCTTTCGCTACTTGATGGCTGACTGCCTCTCATCACTCAGGTTTCAGCCAAATGTCCCCTTTTCTGAGAGGCCTCACTGACCTCCCCAGCTAGATCCTTGTCCCCTGGTCACCTCTGTCCCATGACCCTATTCTGTTCTCTTTGCAGCATCTTTGTTGTCTGTTCCCCTGCCCCCCATGAAAGTTCTGTACAAGAGGGACCTCTTTTAACACCATGTTAGTAGCTTTATTTAGATACTAGAGTCCCGGTGCGTGAAATTCATGCACGGGTAGGGTCCCTAGGCCTGGCCAGTGATCAGGGCCCATCAGGTTCCCCACCTCCCTGCCTCCTCCTTCCCTCACTCCCTCAGCACCCCACTGCAGCCGCTGGTTGCCTGCCATGTTCCACGCCACCCCCTGGTGGTCAGCACATGTCATAGCGAGCGATCAAACTCCCCAGCGGACAATTTGCATATTAGCCTTTTATTATATAGGATAATTCATATACCAGAAAATCTATCCTTTCAAAGTATACAATTCAGTGTTTTTTAATATCTTCACCCATGTGCAACTACCACCCCAAATGAAACCCAGTACCCATTAGTAGTCACCCCCATTCCTCTCAGCCTCTGGCACCCACTTCTCTGCTTTCTCTCAGGCATGTTCTTCTTAAAACATCTCCTGTCACCCCAATACATATAATTAAGCCGGTGTGGCTCAGTTGGTTGAGTGTCATCCCATGCAACAGGAGGTCACCGGTTCAATTCTCGGTCAGGGCACATGCCTGGATTTGGGGCTCAATCCCCGGTCGGGGGGAGGAGTGGGCATGTGGGAGGCAGCCAAAGTGATGTTTCTCTCTCGTCGATGTTTCTTTTGTTTTTGTTGTTTCTCATTGATGTTTCTACATCTCTCTCTGTCTCTCTGAAATCAATAAAAACATATTGAAATAATAATAAAATAAAACATCCCTGTACCCCCAGTGCCCAGTGCTGTGAGGACAGGTTGGTCACATCCCCCACTTTGTAGGTGAGAAAACAGGCTCAGGACCCCTCAGAAAACTGATTTTCCCTGTTCCGAGCCTGTGTTTATCATCTCCCCGGAACTAGGCTGCACTGGGGAGGATGGAGACTCAGCAGGAAAAGAAGCAGTGAGGTGTGGGCATCGAGGAGGAGTTCCCTTCTTGGCTACCTGGCTGAGGCCCACCCCTGGGCACCTCTGGGAGGTCTCCTTCAGAGGCAGGTCAGCGACTGCAGATTGAGGGGACATTCATGCCCTCACTGCTGGTGGGCTGAGTTCAACTCTATGCCTGTCCTGTGCCAGGGACAGACCAGCACCACCCTCCCACGGGGAGTAGGGCAAGCAGCTGAGGGCAGGGCCCATCCTGGGAGGGTTGAGGGCAGCTGGTATGGGAGGAGGGCCAAGTCAGGGCCGCGCAGGGCAGTGTGTTTAAGTCCAGGCTCCACTTCGTAGGAGCTCTGGGACTTGGGGCAAGTGACTGCACCTCCCTGGGCCTTCCTTTCCCATCGGAATGGCACCCATCCGTGGGTCCCTCAGGGTTGTTGTGAGCCTGAGTCCATGTGGATGAGCCCACCACAGCGTCAGGCCCCACATGGGGTGCCCTCCCTTCAGGCCCTGGGCCCAGTGGAGCCCAGGCTCAGAAAGGCTGGTGGCTCTCAGAGGCTGAGTGGGGGCCAGAGCAGCGTCAGATTTCCTGACCCTTTGAAGCCTGTCTCCTCAACTGTAAAAGGGGTTTAATAATCAGTCCTCCCTCCCTGTGAGCGGCCAGGGCTGGGGATGTGCAGTTATCAGCAGCCTCTGGGCCTCAGACGGGGAAACCAGACAGGCTCCCTCCCAGGGCCCTCTCATCCTGGCCTCTTTCATCTTAGGCTTAATTAGCCAGGCCGCCCCACCCCACAGCCTCTTGGGGCGGGGGTGTCCTCACTCCCATTTTATAGATGGAGAAACGGAGGCACCTAGAAGGAAGTGGTTTGGGGCTGCCGCCTGTGAGTCAACTGTGGAGCCAGGGGCAGAGGAGCTGGGACAGGCTTTCCAGTCGGACCTGTCCCTGGGGGTGGATGCTGGGCTCCATCCCCCTGGCACCCCAATAGCCTCTTTTCCAGCTACTCCATCACTTCCATCTGGAGGGCAGCAGGTTGGGGAGGGAGGGAGGGACCTGTGAAGCCTGGAGGAAGGAGAGAAACTAGTTCGCAGCTGCTGTCTGTTTCATCTTCAAAGCCGGCTAATGAGAGCCGCAGGCCTTAGGCCAGTGGGCTGTGGGGTCCGGCCGCCTGCAGTTCTGCGCCGGGGAACCTGCAGTCATTGGGGCATCACAGCCTTGGTCCCCGGCCCAGGAGCGGCTCCTAGGGAACCCCTGGCCCAGTTCCCTTGGTGCCCCTCAAAGCCTTGACCCAGCCCTCTGAAGTCAAGAGTGCGTGCGGGGTGCCCGCAGTCCTGGGCCCCAGGTCTTCCCCGCGAAGCCTAGGTTTCCCATCGGTGCTAGGCGTGCGGTGACCTGACGCCGTGACACGCCAGGCGCTGCGGGCCGCACCTCTGCATCCCGTTGTTCTCCGGCTTCATCACGGTTTATGGTCTTGTCTCCAGCTCTACACCGGCCTGGCAGCCGCGACCATGGCCGACCGTCGGTGCCGCCTCTGGCAAAAGTCAGCAGCTTCCTCCCGCCGTGACCCGGGCGCCGGCTCCGCGCCCCCAAGCCGAGCGGGTGGGGGCTCCCCAGGCCGGCGTCGGAGAAGCGAAGCCAAGCCCTGAGGCACCTGCCCGACCGGTTCAGCCAGGGCCGCGGCGCGCGCTTCCTGCGGGAGCCCTGGAACCGCACCTTGCGCACCCCCAGCGGCCACCTTGGGAGCTGGAGCGCCCGCACCCGACACCACCCCGGGAAGGCGCGCGGCTGGCGCGGGGTGCGGTGCGCCCGGGCGCCGGCGGGGGGCGCGCAGGTGGCCATCGTCGCCAACCCGGGGTCGCTGTCCACCCGAGGGCCCTGGGATCGCAGCTCGCGCGCGAGGGGACCCCGGCCTCTGGGAGCGGGGGCCACCCAACTCCACCGCCCCTGCCCGGGCCTGCGGCGGTTTCGGGGAAGGGGGGCCGGTGCGCAGCGGGACAGTTACTCAGCCCCAGCGAAACCGGCGAGTCGGCACCTGCCGGCCGGGTGGGAGGGGGAGGCGGCGGCCCCGTTACGGCCCCGCCCCGCCCGGCCCGGCCTCCCACGCGCCCCGAGCCCCGCCCTGCGCTGCGCGGCCCGCCCCGCGCCGCCCGCCCGGAAGGAGCCGGCAGGCTGGGGCGCCGGCGGCGGCTGAGTCAGGGGAGGTAAGCGCGGCCGCCCGTTACCGCAGGCGCTGGGGACCGGGGTGGCGCTGTGGTTTCGGTGCCGGCCGCGGGCGGGCGGTCTAATGAGCCCTCGGCACGCACCCCGAGCTGGCGCCCCGCCCGGCATCCCCGCCCCTGTTCTCCCGCGTTTCTGCCCCGCAGGGATCCTGGCGGCCCCCCAGCGTCACCCTGAAACCTCTCGGTTTTATCTCGGGGCCCAGGCACGGGGTCCCCGCTGGCGTTTGCGCGTAGTCGAGGGTGGCTGAGGTCTGCAAAGGGCTCTGGGGTGACGATGCCTCTTTCGGGGTTGGCGGGTCTCGCGGCTGCCGGCCTGATTCCCCCCCCGCACCCCGCGCTCCTCCCTGCAGGGACCCACGTGCCTGACCATGGGGCTCCTGAGCCGGGAAGCCTGGGCCCAGCGCCTGGGCGCCTTCCGGGCCAGCCCGTCCGCCTACATGGCAGCTCCTGAGGGTGAGGATCTGGGTCGTGACCTGCTGAGCGACCTGCGGAGTGAGAAGCTGAGCGAACAGACCAAGGTAGGCCCTGAACGCCCCGCCCCTGCCCTGCCCCGTGTGGTCTCCTCAACCCACTGCGCTCTGAGCTCCATCTTCTCCACATCGCCCATCCCCAGGTTTCCATGTTGGCCCTGAGCTTGGAGTACCCAGCCCAGCTGTGGCCAGATGCCCCTGCAGCTGAGGCAGCTGCCACCTCCCTGTTGGATACCCTGGTCCTTCTACCCCCGCGGCCATCAGCTCTGCGGAGGCCCCTGTTGCTGGCAGCAACCACAGCCCTGGTGACCGGAGGTGTGCTCGGCCCCACCTCCGGGGCCTCCCTGCGGCTCCTGCCCCTGCTGCTCGGCTTGGCTTCAGGTGGTGATCTGGGGCGAGGCTTTGGCCCCTCCTCGGAGCAGCGACCCCTGCAGGCCACTGCGTGCGAGTGCCTGCGGGAGCTGGAGAGCTGCAAGCCTGGGCTGCTGGGGGGCTGCCTGGGGCTTCTTCGTGGCCTGTTGGGACAAGAGGGCCCCGTGGCCCCTGTCCAGCCACTCAGCCTGCTGCTGGCACTTGCCCTGCGAAACACCTTGGTGATACAGGCTAGGGCCAGGGCCAGCCTGCAGGGCCTGCTCACAGTCAGGGCTCCTCCCCCTGGGGGTGGCCCCTGGAACTGGACACTAGCTCAAGAGGGCGATGCCCACCTTCAGCCCCAAGCGCCCAGTTGGCCGGCAGCTGAGGAGGAGTGTGGCCTTTCAGCGCTAGAGCCCAGCCCCGAAGAGGCCCGGGAGCTGCGGGCTGCAGTGGCCCAGCTTCTGGACACCTCGTACCTGCTCACACCTGTGGCCCAGGCCCAGCTTCTGTGGCTGCTGGGCTGGGCCCTGCGGGGTCTGCGGGGACAGCCGCCAGTGCTCTTCAAGCCACAGCTGGTACGGCTGTTGGGCACAGCCCAGCTGGCACTGCTGCACGCTGTCCTGGCACTGAAGGCGGCCTTCGGCGAGGCACTGTTCACAGCCCAGGACGAGGCCTTGTTGCTCCGCCGGCTCACCTTGGCCGCGCAGCACCCAGCCCTGCCCCTGCCCGCCCATCTCTTCTACCTGCACTGCCTCCTGAGCTTCCCAGAGAACTGCCCGCTGGGCCCCGCCGGTGAGGAGGCTGCCCCGCTGCTGCTGGAACCGCAGCTCTGCCGTGGCCTCCTACCCAACCTCCTTCATGACCCGCTGGCCCTGCTGGCCCGCCTGCACCTGCTGTGCCTTCTCTGTGCTGAGGACGAACAAAAGGAGGAGAAAGGACAGGCTCAGAGCCCCTGCCACTACTTGCAGGAACTCCTGGCCGGCCTGCAGCAGAGGGCGGCCCTTACCGGAGGCCCCCGGGCCTTGGCTACACTCTGCTTCCAGGCGTCATACCTCGTTGCTCTCTGCCTGGCCGGGCACCGTACAGTGCTGGCACCCTTGACCCACGGGCTGGCCCAGCTCTACCGAGCCCGGCCTGCGCTGGCTCCCCATTTTGTTGACCTCTTGGATCGAGTGGCCCCGGAGCTGGGGGAGCCCCTGCGGGTGGTGTTGCGGCAAGAGGTGGTGTCCAGGCCAGGTGGGGGTGAGGCCCTTCGTTGGCACCTGCAGATGCTGGCAAAGGTGGCAGACAGGGACGCTCAGAGTGCCACCCTCGGTTTCCTGCAGGCTGCAGCGGCCCACTGCACGGACTGGGGCCTCCAGCAGGCCTTGCTGCGAGTCTGCCGGGCCCTGCTGCGGGTGGGGGTTGGGGGAGGCCTGGCAGACTTGCTGCAGGCATTGGCCAGGCAGCTGGAGGACCCTGATGGGCGGGACCACGCCCGCCTCTACTACGTCCTCCTGAGCCACCTGTCAGGGCCCAAGCTGGGGGTGGCGCTGGGCCCCTCCCTTGCTGCACCTGCACTGACCTCTTCGCTGGTGGCCGAGAACCAGGGCTTTGCCACGGCACTGATGGTGCAGGAGGCCCCAGCCCCGATTCGGCTGAGCGTGGGGCCCCAAAGGGCTGAGGGCCCGGTCCCAGTGCTGCAGCTCCAGGTAGAGGTGCTGGAGCCCGTGTACTCTCTGGAGCTGCGCTTCCGAGTGGAAGGACAGCTCTATGCACCCCTAGGGGCCGTCCACGTGCCCTGCCTGTGCCCTGGCCGCCCGGCCCGCCCTCTGCTCCTGCCCCTGCAGCCCCAGCGCCCGGCCCCGGCACAGCTGGATATCCGTGCTCTTTACACCAAGTCCACTGGCCTCACGTGCTATACCCACCTGCCACCCCTGCCTGTGAAGTTCGCTGACCTCTTCCTGCCTTTCCCGAAGCCCCCCGAGGGTGCCAGGTTAGGCTTCTTTGAGGAACTGTGGGACTCGTGCCTGCCAAAGGGCACCGAGAGTCGCCTGTGGTGCCCTCTTGGGCCTCAGGGTCTGGAGGCCTTGGTGTCACGCCACCTGGAGCCCTTTGTAGTGGTGGCCCGGCCGCCCACTAGCTACCACATAGCCATCCGCCTGCCCCCGGACTCCAAGCTGCTGCTGCGGCTGGAGGCAGCCCAGGCGGACGGAGTGCCCGTGGTCCTGCGGACGGATGCCTGGGCTGTGCTGCCCCTGGTGGGGGACTACCTCCGCGGGCTGTCGGCTGCGGTCTGAGCCCCGGCTGGGCTGGGCCAGGTGGGAACGGGACTGTGGCCCTTACAGGGTCTTGTCTAAGACGGGCAGCTGCAGAGCAGGACCCAGTCCTATGGATCCTTTGTTCAAAAACCTCCGTTCACCAATGACCCTCGTTTGTTTTCTTCTGGGCCCTAATCAGGAGCAGACCCCTGGGATGGGGTCAGAGGCTCCCCGAAAGCTTCTAGAGTAGGAACCCCTCAGACTGCGGGGCCCCAAAGTTCCCTCCTGGCAAATAGCCTGGGATTCTCCAGAATCTCTGCTTCCCAGAGGGTCTGGTCTTGCCCAAAGCTCCCCAGTAATTTAGGAATGAGCCTGGAGCTAGGGGGCCTCTCACCTGTGGGCCCGTGCTTTTCAGCTCCTGAGGGTTGCAGGGTCCCTGACCCCGGGAGCTTAGGCTAGAAACAGTGAGGAGACTGCAGTGTCCGCTTCCCTGGGGAGTGAGGCTCCCCCAGGCTGGGGAGGGGAGCCAGCTCTAGGAAGGGCCTGCTGGTACAGTTTCAAGGCTGAGGGGGCCTCATGGTCTGGGCTAAAACGAAGCTGGGTTTTCCTTACCCCATCAGTGGACCTCGAAATCTTCCTCTAAGAACCACCCCGTCGTTCTTATTCCAAATATGCAAAATACTCAGGATTCTGATGTGTTTTTTTTAATCCTCATTGGAGAATGTGTGTATGGCTTGACAGTGCTGCTCAGTGGATAGAGTGTCGGCCCTCAAACCGAAGGGTCCTGGGTTCAATTCTGATCAAAGGCACGTACCTGGGTTGCAGGCTCAGTCCCTGCCCCAGTAGGGGCACATGCAGGAGGCAGCCAATGTGTCTTTCACATTGATGTTTTTCTGTCTTCCCCCCTCCCTTCCACTCTAAATATCTATGGGAAACACCCTTGAGTGAGGATTAACCTAAATAAGTAAACACAGGTGTGTGTGTGTGTGTGTACATTTTTCCCCCATTGATTTTTAGAGAGAGGGGAAGGAAGGATGGGAGAGAAGCATTGATGCTAGAGAGAATCCATTGCCTCCTGCACACACCACGTCTGGGGCATGGTGTAGAGGTTTACCATCCTGGAGCGGGTTTCTGTTGCCACATTCAGAGCAAAGCTCTGCACGGGCCATGGGGACACAGCCCCCACCCTCTGCCCTGGGGCCAGCCCCCAGGAGCTCACAGGAGCAGCAGTCAGCAGTGCTGGGTGGAGAATGGCCAGAGGCTTGCGGGGAGGGCCTCTTCTGCCACCTGCCTCCTGGGCCCCCAGCCGAGCCTCTCCTGTCGGGCTGCCTAGGAGAGGAAAGAAGGGCCTGGGACAAGTGGGGCCGTTACAGGTTGGGGGTCAGGTGGTCTGTCCCAAGGTTGAGCTCCAGCCACTTGCTGTAGAACCGGGCAAACCCTGCAACACGCTTCTCCAGCTGCTTCCAGCAGAAAGGATTGAAGGCAGAACCGGATGCTTAAACCAGGGGTCCTCAGACTACGGCCCCTGGGTCACATGCAAATACAAATATTGTATTTGTTCCCGTTTTGTTTTTTTACTTCAAAATAAGATATGTGCAGTGTGCATAGGAATTTGTTCATAGGTTTTTTTTAAAACTATAGTCCGGCCCTCCAACGGTCTGAGGGACAGTGAACTGGCCCCCTGTTTAAAAAGTTTGAGGACCCCTGGCTTAAACCCCTGGGGAGGCTGGAGAATGGGCCTGCAGGAGGCCACGGCTGGGCTGTTGGGTTCCAGAATGTACTCCCCTGCCTGCAGTCCAGCTCTCAGCACCCAGGAAGCTGGTTCCGGCCCTGGAACATGGGGTGGGGCTGCCTTCACTGCCTCAACTCTGCCCACAAAGCCAGGGAGCTGAGGCTGCTGCAGAAAGACTGGAGCTGCAAAGGGCTGCGGCCTCACTTCCCCATCCACACTGTTCAGAGGGCATCTAGTGAGTGGGACCTATTTCTCAGGCACCACAGCTGTAACTATTTGTTTTTTTAAAAATCCTCAGCCAAGGATATGTTTGTTTGTTTTTTAAATTGATTTTAGAGAGAGGGGAAGGGAGAGAGAAATATTGATGTGAGAAACATCAATTGGTTGCCTCTTTACACGCTCTGACCAGGGATTGAACCCGTGGCCTTTTGGTGTGTGCGCTGATACTCCAACCACCTGAGCCACCTGGCCAGGGCTGAATTACTCTTGAAGAGAGGACAGCTGTGACTCTTGGGGTCACGGGTACCCAGCTGGCTGCAGGCTTCCTTTCTCTACACTCAGGTTTTGCCTCTCCCTGTCATCTCTTGCAAGGGGAGGGGCTGGGGGTGGAGTAGGAGAAAAGGTAGAGTGTGGTCAACCCAGAACTGGGTGGTGGGGAGCTCACTGAGCGTGCCTGCTGTGGGGCCCGGGCTGGGGTGTGACTGCTGTTGGCACATGGGCGGTTCTGGTGTCTTAACTGTCCATCTTTCTGTGCTGCTGCCATGGCTGGGACCTGAGTTGCAGCCGTAAGTCACACCCTGGGCATCTCTGGGCGTGTTGTGGGCTGTACAGCTACTGTGTAACGCACTTGCATCCAGCTGTGGCCCCAACCCTGGGCACTGCAGGAGGTTCGGTGCCCAGACCACAGCCTACAGCCCTTGACCTGTGGAGGCACGAATGGGTACGGATGGCTGGAAGGATGGCTGGTGAGTCCTTACATGGGCCGATTATCTTAATCTTGGGCAAAGGATTAATGCCATCTTCTACATCTGAAGTCAAAAAGAAAGCAGGTGTGTTTTCCGGACTCCTATGGTACCTGGGAAATTTGCTATGGTGAGAATGTTTAAATATCAAAGAACTTCCAACACAGTATTCACACATCTCCCAAGCAACTCTTCCAGGAGGAGGCCCTGTCGAATACAGACAGCTCTGCCAGCCTCAGCGGAGCCACCGAACGAAGCCACAGAAACCCCGAGGATCACAGGTCCAACTTTTTAAGGGCCCACGGGACCTGGTTCAGGTCAGGTAAGATACACAAACCACCTACTCTTTCAGGCTCAACTGCCAAAACTGGCTCCCCGCCCCCCCTCCGGCCAGCCCCTCCTACTACAGGAGCTGGGACCCCAAACTAAGGACCCTCCTGGCCTCAGACTCCCAGACTCTAGAGGTGGTGTCCTCTGACACCTGAAATCAGACGAGGAGGGACCGCACACCTCAGCCCCAGAGCAGCGCTAGACGCACTGCAGGCAACATGAAAACAACTGAAAAGAAGACGAGGGGGCCTCTTTTTGGTCCAAGAAAGACCAAATCCGCTCTAAGTCTGGAGAGTTAGGGCTGGGACTACAAGGAAGGGGTTTCTGAGTGTATGTACCACTTGAAGGGGCAGCCTTTGAAACGTAATCTCTCGGGGAGCAAGACACACGAAAAGGAAGGAAGTCATTTGGGTGTGAAAGGGGAAGTAAATGGAGAAATGTCATGGTTCTGCAAGACAAAAAATCAGAGGCACTACAACTCCGCCCCCATCTACAAACAAATCTGGACTCAGCAGTGTTGACAGAAGAGGGTGCATTAAACAGGGATTTTATAAAACACCCAACAGCAAAGCAATGAACAAGATAAAGATTAACAGGTTTGTACAGTTATTGCAAAATATCAGAAAATGAATCTCATCATCTATCAAAGTAGTCCATACACATCCCCCTGGAAAGGCAGCCTGGAAACAGAAGAAAGCTGTAATACAACACTCTAAACGGCGAAATAGATCAAAACCACCTTGGATGAGAAACTTAAAAAGAAAAGAAATAGACAAAACCCAGGAAGAAATAAACAAGATAAAAGAAGGTCCTAGCCTGCCTGGCTCAGTGGATAGAGCGTCTGCCTGCGGACTGAAGTGTCAGGGGTTCAATTCCGGTCAAGGGCATATGCCTGGGTTGTGGCTCGATCCCCAGTAGGGGGCATGCAGGAGGCAGCCGATCAATGATTCTCTCTCATCATTGATGTTTCTCTCTCTATCCCTCTCCCTTCCTCTCTGAAATCAATAAAAATATATTTAAAAAAAAGAAACACAAAAGTACCTAGAAATAAAGATTACATTACAAGATGCCCAAAGGAGAATAGACTCAAAATATAATAAGGGGCATTGAAGAAAGACAAAAACAAGAGAACGAAAATGAGACAAAGGGGTCACAAGAAAGTAATGAAAACAAGATAGTCAAAGAAGGAATTGCATTTGCATTATTGGGTCCCTGAAGAAAAACTACCGGATGAACCAGCACCAGTATTTACTGCTGCATTCTAAGAAACACTTCCCAAGAAAGAAAAATCTGCACATTCAAAGGGCCCACTGGGAACCTTGGAAAATTAACTTGGAACAGTCAACTTACTTTGCGACATCATAAAACTATTAGTTTTCTATTTTTCAACAAAAATCCCCAAGATCTCCAAGCAGAAAGATCAAATAACTTACAGAGGCAAAAGAGTCAAAATGGCACATAAAAAGCAAGACGGCATTTGGAGCAGCATCTATTAAACATTTAAGGGTAAACCGAGGTGTTTTTTTTTTTTTTAATTTATTGATTTTTTACAGAGAGGAAGAGAGGGAGATAGAGAGTCAGAAACATCGATGAGAGAGAAACATCAACCAGCCGCCTCCTGCACATCCCCCACCGGGGATGTGCCCGCAACCCAGGTACATGCCCTTGACCGGAATCGAACCTGGGACCCTCCAGTCCGCAGGCCGACGCTCTATCCACTGAGCCAAACCGGTTTCGGCATAAACCGAGGTTTTTATATTCGCATGGATTGTCTGTGTCAAGTGTCAAGGCTTTAGGAAACAGTTTTATGTTTTTCAACAAGTATTTATGCACCCATAGGGAATCTGGTAGAGAATGCACTTCATCCTACCGAGAGATAATGAGCATGTGTGTGTGTTTATCTAAATACATGATCCAGGACTAAAACAAAGGCGGGCATGAGGGTAAATAAATAAATAGATCATATATCATCATGAAGTAGAAATAATATCACTAAAGGCATGAGAGAGCCGGTGGGTGTGGCTCAGTGGTTGAGCATTGGCCCATGACCCAGGAGGTCACCCCCAGGGCACGTGCCTGAGTTGCAGGCTCAATCCCCAGTAGGGGTTGTGCAGGAGGCTGCCGATCAAAGATTTTCATCATTGATGTCTCCCTCTCCCTCTCTGAAGTAAATTTAAAAAAACAAACAAACACATTTTAAAAAAGCATGGGAGAAGGGAGAGGGAAATAGGAAAGTAAGATAAGCTGACTGGTGGCTGTGCAGGTGCCTCTCAGCTCCAAATTCATTCTTCATTGCCTACTCTGAAAATGGGCCTGGACCCTTTACCTTTGCCAGCTGGCGCATTCCTAAGCTCTGTCGGTAGAGGGCGCCGGGGAGCCATTGCAGAAGGGCTTTTTCAAACTGCCTCCTGTGTGCTGACCAGACAATTTCTTCAAGCTTGTCTGGTACCCAAGGTCCTCCAGCAGCTGCCATGGTCAGTGCTCATGGCTTCTCCAGCACCAAGCTCCTGCAGGGTGCGGCAACCAGCAGTACAGCAGATGGCCCCTGCGCCCCAAACACCGCCGGAATGATGTAAGCTAGACAGCCCTAAACTGTTGATCTTAATCCCACCTTTCCTTTCCCTCTGAAGCTCCAATAAACGTTGTGGCCTATTCTGTCCTT